CAACTGCATGATCTTGGGCTGATCACTGTCCCTCTACCCTTATTTGCTCTTGCAGGACAAAGGTTCTCAGCCCAGGTTCTGTTAGGGACTCCTTCTGCCTCCAGAATTAGTCCCTCAAACCTGAAGACCTAACCCTTGCTGGATATTTACAGGGCTTGTAAACTTTCTCTTGAAGATGGTGTTGACTTTGCAGCTCGCAAGACTCTCATTTCAAAACTTCTCTCTCCATCTCTCTATGTCTCTTTCTCTTGACCTTTGTCTCTCTCTCTCCTCTGTGTCTCTGTGGCTGCCTCTTTCTCTTGCTCTGTCTCTCTCTCTTTCTCTAGTTGGCTCACTCTATCATGCTTGTCTTTCTCACTCCACTCTCCCAGTCCACAGCCATTTGGCAGACTTTGGCCCTGGCCTGGGTGTCTGGAGACCCAGGTGGTTTTGGGAGATGGCTGTGGAATTCCACAGTGAGGCAGGACTGCCTTCCTATTCTGCTGGGAGGCCTGGAACCCTCCCATCTCACTGCAGGCGGTATCCTTCCCCTAGGGGCGCTTGGGACTGGAGCCATGGGTCTAACCTTAACCCAGCCACTCTGCTCTGCCTGGTACCTAGGATCTAGTGTTCTGTGTGACCAGAGGGCCACAGTGACTTTTAACAGTGGTAGGTGGCTATGTGGCTGGGGCAATGCGTGGGCAGAGAGAGGACCAGACCAGCTCCCATGTTTCCCCAGAGATCCCAACTCATGGGATCCAGGGACCAGACCAGGTCCTGGGGGATAGGCGATGAGCATTTAATGAGATAGAGGTGACATTAGTGCCCCACCTTATTCCTTCGAGTGGGTGTGGTTTGGTCTGGGGAGGACTGGCGTCCCAGAGCAGGGTCCTAGAGCTCAGGGTTCCAGCACAGGGTTCTAGAGATTGGGCAGGTGGAGGAGAAGGCACTGCTCGGTTGTAAAGTGGTGGGGGGCCAGGGACTGCTTGGGTTCAGGTGACACAGGGATAGGGGCCTGAGGAGAGATTACCCCCTTGCTGGGATGACACTCTTGAGTGACCTGGCAGAATTCCAGACCATATCAAGGATTTCAGGAGAGAAAGAGCAGGCCCTGATAGATCACAGATCCCAAACAGAACCTTCTGGAAAAGCCCATGTCAGGCAGGGACAGGTAGCTGGGTTCAGAGGAATCTGTATCCTATGACGTGCTTAAGAAAATGTGTAGTTTATTTGGGGGAAAAAGGAGCTGAATTGGAGCAAGGGCCCAGTGACGAGGGGGACTTGTCAGGGACTCACGTTGCTTCTTTTCTGGGCAGAGGGAGCAGGTGGTAACTCTTGAAGTCACAGCTTGCCATTGCTCTGAGAGTGAAGTCCAACGGGGTGTGGAACACAGCACACCAACAGGAGATGGGTTTTGTTGTTGTTTGTTTTTCTTTTGCAAAAGTAGAACAGCAGTAAACTTGTGCTTATTCCCTCTCCTGGCCTGCCTTGTAATAGCTGTGGGCTCACTCACTAAGTCATTGAACAAGCATAGCTAAGTGCTGGCCAGGCTCTGGCCTTGCCCAGCACAGGATAGCCCCACCTTTTCTCCCACTCCTATTTTCTGATCCCTTCTTTCTCAGTGCCCACCCCCTGCTGTTGAGGGTGAATAATTAAGTCCTGGAAGCAACTCCATTGCATCCCAACAGGCCCTCAGAGCTCTGGTGGCCCTCCTGGCTGTGAGTGGCTTTTGTTCCAGTGCTTCCCTGTACTGCTAGGCAGGTGAGGTGCTGAATCAGCACTTGGCAGGTCTCCTCCACTCCCCCAAGTGTTTCCATTCCTTGGGATGGACACCCCTCACCCCCACCCCAGGGCAATCTCTCTGATGGGTAGAACCTAGTTTGCATCTCTAATCCTTACCACAAAATCTAGGAAGTTTTAGCTACCTAGGCTGCAGAGCGGGAGGAGGCTGGGCCATGCTGGAGTGAGCCACGTAGGGCAAGTGTCCCCTTTCTGGGGACTGATTTGTCCCAGAGGTGGAACAGCCTATGAGCAGAGCAATGGAACTTTTGTTTCACGAAGACTCTGATGATGGCCAGTGTGGGAACCTACGAGCAGCACATCCATGAGCCTTAATGCTGGGGTTGGGAGGTGTGAAGATCACATGGGCAGTGCCATTTCTGTTCTCTCCAAGACCCTGGGCCCCTCAGTCTAGGAGCAGGGAGCAAACAGAAGGGAGCCACGTCTGTTGGGTTGGAAGTGCTAGGAATTGCCGCAGGTTGTCTCTGGCTGCTTTCTGTAGCTTCTCTCACTGGCCTCTCTGCCACAATCTTGCTTCTTTAGGGTGGCACCTTCTCAGTCACATCTACCTGTCCCCACAGGTGGTGCTGTTTTTGAGCGGTAGGCTCAACCTGGAAGAGCCAGGAGAGCTCCTGAGACTCCACTCCTCACACTTTGTTTAGGCTTACCACTTATTGCTCTCCTGGCCAGTGGGAGGGTGGCGTTGGGTCTGGGAAAGGTCTAGTGACCTTTTTAACTTGCTGCAGTGCAGGTTGGTGAATGTACCGAGAAGGCTGCAGGAAAATAGCTCTCTGCCTTCACAAATGGAGAAAACAGGCTGTGGTCTGGGAAGAGCATCGTACGCTTGCTGTGATGTGGGTCCAGGAAACCCCGCCAGGATCCCTGATACCTTCCCCAGGCTGCTGCCAGCCTTGGAGCTGAGTCTCTGGGATGACCCAGGGCTCGGTGTTGTGTCATTCTGGGCAGGTGTGCTGGCAACTGGCACGGCTGTCTCTTCCCACGACTGGGGCCAGGCCTGGGGCTGTGCCGCGTGTCCTCTTCAGCCCCGGAACTGAGTGTTGATTCTGATGTCCTGTGGATGAGGGCCAGCGAGGGCTTTGTCACTGGTGCAGAGTATCTCAGAGGGGACACAGATCTGTGGCATAACAAAATAGGCAAGGGACTGACACACTGCATGGGTCTGGACCCTGGGTTGTGGCCAAGGGCCACCAGTGAAATCAGAGGTCATGGGAGGCAGCAGTTGTGAAATGAGCAGAGGCCAGCCTGGACCAATAGTGGGCTGGTTGCCCTCGCTGTGCCCTGCTGCCACCTGAAATGGCTTCTGCACGAACACAGGAAGTCCTTACAGTCCTGATTAAATGACAGAGGAGGCAGCAAGGCCAGCTGGGCCCTCAGAACTCTCGAGTCTGGGACATGTGTCGCATTGCTGAGAACCGTGGAGCTGGGGAGGTGCTTTGTGATGGGATGAACAGTTCCACATGGCTTCTCTCGAGGTCCCCTTCAGGGCCTGGCACAGTCCCCGTGCACTGTTTCCAAACTGGATGCCTGGCCTGATGTCCGCTCCCCTTTCAGGACTGCCTCCTGGGACACGGGGTCTTTTGCCCACGGCTCTCCTGTTAAGGACTTTCCTAGATCAGTAGGGAGGCTGCGTGGCTGACTCAGCCCTCTTTCTGGGGCTGTGCTGGGGCTCCAGGTGCAGCTGTAGCTGCCGCAGGAGTCCTCAGAAGCCAGCCAAGAGGAAGCCAGCGTGGCCAGCCTCTATTACTCCCTTCTTTGAAAAGTGGTACTTTCTTCCTGAGTGAGAAAGTACCTGGGGAGGACTGCAAGGAGTTGGTGAACTGAGTACTTTCGGAGGGACAGAGACACAAGGGGTGAGCCTGCTTCAGCCATCTGCCACACCCAGAAGTGGGCACTGACTTTAGTACATCTGTCAGAATTGACTCCAAACGGGTGTAAGGATTAGCATATCGTGTGGATGTCTTTCTCAGGCATGACTTGATCCCGCTGTCCATGCAGCATGGCAGGAGTCTGGCTCTGCACTCTCAGCTGGGCACTCACCACAACCTGAGAAATGGCTGCCTGTCCTGCCAGACTCATGTTCTGTGTATGACACCGGCTTTTTAGGAAGAGTGACTGCTCTTTCCTAAAGGCAAAGCCCCAGGATGGAGCGTCGCTGACCTGGCCTGGTCATCTGGTCAGGTTGCATCATGCTTTGATTGCTAGTAGAGAGGACATGGCCAGCCTCACTCCTTGGTGGGCAGGTGGATGCTGACAGTTCGTTCTCAAGGTGCCCGGGGGCACCTCAGCCACTCCGTTGTTCTGTGACTGTGACACCAAGTTAGAGTTCATTCTGTGTCTGTCCATGCAGGCACTTCCTGTGTAGTAATGAATTGAACTTCCACTGGAAACCATGTTGTTTGGGACAGGTCATTGACCCCCAAGCTCCAGTGATGCGAGGGAAGGAGGTGCTGGCAGAGGGAACATGTTTTCTGTTGGGAGAGGCAAGTGCTGTGGTGTCAGTGGTCAAACCCTCAGCTGCTCCCTGAGGGTCTCCCAAGCTCCTGGAGGAAGGAGGGTCAGGAACATACTGGAAGGGATTTGGGGGCCTGCTTCCCTCTTGTCCTGGGTGTCCAGGTGTACATCTTCTGGGGGCAGATGGAAACAGGGTATTTGCTGTAGACTATTGTGGGGAATTGCCTTTTACTTGGACCATGAATGGGACAAAATGTGCCAGTGGCCGTGGAGACTCAGGAAGCATCTGTAGTCCAGAAGTTGCACAGTGATTTCTCAAGCTGCCGGTTGCTTGTCTCAAATCACAGCACTGCAAAGACAGTCCTGGTAACTTGTGTTTGGGGAACAGACATGTCTGCTGCTGGTGCATGGAGGTGCCTGGGTTGCGGGGACTGTGCAGCTCTGGCAGCTTAGGATTTAGGGGAAAGAGCCAATCCAGTGCCAAGTGAGGAGGCGTGGTCATCAGAGGGGCAAGTGGGGGGCTGCTCCGGGTGCATGGCTGTTCTCAGGAATCGGATGGGAATGTCTTGCACGGTGTGATATTCCTGGCCCTGGGCTGCTCCCCAGCCTCTTCTGAGCATTAGAAGTTTGTGGCTATGAAAGACTGCAGGGATGAAGGCTGGTTTCAGTCACCTAAAACCCTCCTCCTCCTCCTCCTCCTCCTCTCCCTGGGTGTCCCTGCAATACTCCTGCCCTCTCCGTGGCTGACCTCAGCTCCCCTGTCATTTCAGCTCAGCCAGCAGATCTCCTGAAGGTTCTTGATTTTCACAACTTACCCGATGGGATAACAAAGACCACAGGTTTTTGTGCGACACGACGATCTTCCAAAGGCCCGGATGTTGCCTACCGAGTCACCAAAGATGCACAGCTCAGCGCACCCACCAAGCAGCTGTACCCTGGTAAGAGCTGTGTGTTCCTATTGTGGGTAGTGGGTTTTAGTGGGTGGCGCAGAAGCCTGCATGGTGGCAAGGTTTCCTAGAGCCCTTCTTAGGAGCCCAGTTTGATTTCACTATTGTGAAAGCACAGCTCTGAGCAGCTGTCACCACCCTCCACCAAAGGTGTATGCATGAGGCCTTTGAGGCTCAAGCAGGTGTGTCTCCAGCATAGACAGGGTACCAGAACCCAAGTGCAAAAGGATGGATGGTCCCTAGGGGCCAAGGTGCAGGGAAAGCTAAGGTCATGGGAAAGGAAGTGCTTGTAGACGGGAGCTTAATTGGGGGCAGTGACATTAAGAGACACATGAATCAAACCACAGCTTGCTGCTAGAGGCTCCTAATGAGAACATATTGCCAAGCACCAGAGCTCCGCGTTTAATTATGTACCCAGAGGGGGAGCTACACAACTGATGAGGCAGCATCCAAGTTGTCCCTGTCACCAGCCATGGGGCAGTTCCTGTCCTCCCTGCTCACCAGAGTTAATTAAACCCTCCAGGCTTATCTGGACATGTGTAAACAGGCTGATGATCGATTCTCTTTTCCCCTGTCTTGGGGAGGTGCAGCCTTGGAGCCTGAAGTGAGCCATTTTCTGATTTAGATAAGAGGAACCAGGGCCCTCGGGCAGATAAAGTCACCTTGTGCAATGTGTTGAAATTGCTAGAGACTGTGCTCCATCTTTTCAGTGACCTGGATGTGACCTCAGCATTGGATCAGAATTGGGGCAGTTTTAACGAGGAGTGCTGTTCTCCGTGAGCTTTGTGTCTCTGCTGCATCCCTAAAGGACACTTGCTGACTGTGTTTCTGCTAACTCTGGCCTTTCCCTCTCTCTGCTTTATCTCACTACTTCCTAGCCTCCCTTCAAATTCATCGTGACTTTAGGAAACTGAGGGAGACCCTGGACCCTTCTGTCCAAGAGGTCATTTTGGATGGAGATGGTGACTCAGGCATCATGTCTCTGCCTTGTAGTTGGGCAGAGATGAGGGGGAGGCAGCTGGACTTTGAAGCCTGGGGTCTCTAAAGACCCTTGGGTGCAGCGCTGTGCTGGATCTCGGACGCCCAATCTGGACAACGCTTAACTCATCGGTAAAGACAGACATCACCTCACGACCCCCACGATATCAGAGGGTGACCTGTCCCTCCTCGTGGGGAGCTGCAGGACTCCACTTTTCATGGTGCTTCTTGTCCTTTTGGGGAGAGCGTGTCTTTTGGAGTGACCCCTGGAATGCTCACTCCATCCCCGTAGCCCAGGACCTGGGGTGACTAGGAGGCCTATGCCCAGGGAAGGGGGGCTGGCTGAGGGCTGAGGACATGCTGGCCTGAGCTCTGGGATGGACACCCACTGAGCAGCTCAGAGGGGTCCTGACTGCTGACCCATGTTCGGCTGGCTGTGAAAAAGGGCTCCCATCCTGGGGGTTCATCTTTAGCCAGTGTGCTGACAATTAATCTTATCATTGTCGCCCAATTCTGGGCCACTGGCAGAACCAATTAACTACGATTTGTGCCTATAAACTCTCCTTCCCCTGGATTACTTTCCCATAAGACATATCATAGGATTTTAGGAATACAGCTAAATTACTGCAAATCTAGGATGGATTCCTAGACAGTATGGTAGGAAATGTTTGCTTGCTCTTTCTTTTAGCCAGGGTCTTGCTGTTTAGGTTAGGCTGGCCTGGAACTCGTGATCTCCTGCCTCTGCCTGCCAAGTGCTCGAACTATAGATAAGTGCCACCATGTCAGCTGGGAATTTTTTTTTTTAAACTTGTGTTTTTTCTAATTCTCACATTAGTAATTTGGTTAGACATTCAGAGAATTGCAGTTGCTCTTACAGCACCTCCTGGTAGTCTTTAGGCTGTAGAGTAGAGTGGGTCTGTATGGCACACAGCAATGGCCCCATTAATGGTTGCTGGAGGTTGTTCAAGTGATTAGGGAGGAATTTCTGGGAAGTCCCTTTCTCAGGCCCCGAGTGTTCAGTACCGGAAGCTGTTCTGGGACATCATTGCACATGAGTATGACACGAAGCAGTGTATATCAAAGCAGGTGAATCAACCTAGATTCTCTCTTCTGCTTGTGACCCCTGAATAAGCTGCCATCTGTCCTCTTTGCTTTGACTCCCTTCTGCTGCTGAGATCAGGACCATCCTCAGGGGTGGGGCCTGGAAGTCACTTGAGGTTTTCTGGCTAGCAAGTGCTCAGAGGACAGGTCAAACCCTGAGAAGCGGCTGCTTCTACAGGAGTGTTGTGGTCCTGTGCCAGCCATCATGGTGGCCTGTGTAAGAGTGAGAGGAGGCTGGGCACTGTGCTGTGCTGTCTCTGGGCACACGGTGTCTGCTGGGCTGCAGAGGCTGTGCCTGCAGGCAGCTGCACAGAAAGGGCTGGGGTGTCCAGGTGGCTGCAGTGAGGCCAGGGCCATTGTGACACCTGTAAGTGAGTCTCCACGCCAGGGAGGTCCCCTGAGTCCTCCCCAGTGGGCTGCCCTACCCCCCCCCCCTCAGCAGGCCATGTGGCTCTGGATCCTGGGGGCTGGGCTGTGCTGTGCTTGGCCGTGAACTTGGGGCCTTGCCATTCTCTGCCTGCAGTGGAGGTGTCATGTCAAGGTAAGACTGGCCAAGTCCTAGAAGAAGCTGGCCACGGGACCATCCCTGAATGCAGATGGCAAGACCTTCCTTCATGGGTGCCTCCTGTGTCCAACTAGCCAATGCCATTGCTTGTAATGTGCCATTCATCTGAACCATCCTCTCTGAAGACCAGAAGGAGGCAGCTGTCCTGAGTCCACTGTGGCATGACTGGGTCCCCAGCGTCACTTTGGGAGCAAAGGCCCTTGCCTTCCCAGTTTTGTGCTGTGCACCTGGTCCTTTCTCCATCTGGCCCTCTCTCGGGATCCCTTCCTTACACCCCTGGTCTGAGGAGGCCTCTGAAGTACCCATCCTGTTCAGGAACCAAGGCAGAGTTGGATGGACACCACTGGCTTTGAAGCTTTCATCCCTCCCCACTCTGCCAGCACCTGTTTTCACTCTAAGCCTCCCGCAGCAGGACCCAGGCTCCAGAGCCAGCCTCTGTCCAGCAAAATCACCTGCAGCCAATCGCTGTCACTTCTAGAGCCCACTGGCTGAGGTCTTGGATACCACCAGTCCACTCTCAGCTATGGAAACTCGGCATGTCTCTTCTGAGTGCCAGCCTTGGGTCACAGTGTCATGGATGGAAGGCAGGGATATAAGCTGAGGAGGTGAGAGGGAAGAGGGGGTGTGACCCCAAGCCCTGGGGTCTGCATCCATCCATGAACAGAGTCATCTCCTACTCTGTATTTCCCCATATGGTCAGCGGTGAGGCCCCTGGTTGAGGGGTGGCCTCAAATTGAGAGTTGAGATTGGTGATCTCCTGTCCTCCCTCACCTTGGCTCCCAGGTTTTTTCTGGGAAAGGCAGCTCCAGGCACCCTAACCACTAACAGTGATGAATTCAGGAAGGCCTGGGGGCCCCAGGACATCATATGCTGCTGGAGGAGACAGAGGGCAGCTGCTCTTCCAAGCCCATCACTCCCATGCCTAAATCTGGGACTGAGGAACCTTGTGGTCAGGACCATGAAAGTGAGAGGATTTCCTTAGCCTGGCTCTTCAGATGCCCTTGGGCTCTGGAACCTCATCCTGGGCCACCTGAGCCATAATGGGCCACTGAATTGTCACCTCCCTGGTTTGTGGCCAGCTGTCCAGTGTTTAGTCAGACTCTCCAGTCTCTTCCTCTTCTTGCTTCTGTCTTCATCCCCGGCTCTCTGCCCTTTTGCAGTTATTTAATTAACTTACTTGTTATTGCTTCTGTCCCCTGTGGAAGGGTCATTTCCTGAGGGTGGGGATCACATCTGTCCCTTGATGGACTCTCTGTGGAGCCTTCTTGCACATAGTAAGGGGGGTATCAATCGCAGCTTGATCACATGGTGAAATCAAGTGATCAGTCGCTATATTTGACCACTGTTGTCTTAGAAAGATAAAGTTCTATGGCCAGTGCATTTATTAGCCTCCTACCGTAGTCCTAAAATGGTCTAGGCCCTTTGGGCATTAGCCACAGGGAAGCAGAGATAGTCTAAGGCAGGTGTTGGCCCTGGGCTGAGCTCTACCCTCCATGGTGACTTTCCTGGGAAATGAAATACGAAGTGTTGGACAGTGGACTCACTTCTCCCCGCCCGCCCAACAGTCTAGATTACAAAACGTGTGTCAGACTGGCTCGTGTCATGATGAGAATGGACCATCTGAGAGTGACAATAAATCCATTGTTATTTTGCCAGAAGAGAGATTAATGTTAGACATAATTTATCTTTTCAGGTTTTATCTGAGCTGAGAAAATTTGTTACCATAGAGATTTTAAAAGTAGAGAACGAGCATTATAATGAGTTGGAAGGGATGGAGGTTCATGATCCTCAGCTGTGTGCCATGCAAGAGAAAGCAGACACCCTCATTTCCCTTTTTCTCGCCATTTTCAGACAGTAACGATTGGGAGGGATGCAGAGCCCTGAGTGGGGACAGGAGGCAGGTGGCTTTCAAATGACAGTGAGGAAGCTGCTGACCCAGATCGTATTGCACAGTCTGCCCAGAAGCTGCCTCAGGTCCAGCACCCGCAGGGCCCCTCAGTGCTGCTCACTCCTGGAACAAGACGCTGCCCGGCCCTGCTGCAGGCCTGGCAGTGGCCATGCACAGCTGGCTTCACTGCCTGCCCAGTATCAGCTGAGGTCATGCTGTCCAGTCCCCCTACCCCCATCCCACTCCCCAATGGACCGTGTGGCAGTGGTGACCTCATAAATCTCTTCCCCAGTGGCTTCCTATGGTGAAGTGGAAGGTGGCCCATGGGTCCCATAGTGACACCTGCCTCTCCTAGATGGTCACACTGACCACCACCACCTTCTACTAGAGCTGTCTCCCTGCATAGTGGCCCGGGCTCATAGGGGAACTGGTCGTGGTGCCATGCACAGCAAACAAATCCCGTGTGTCCAGCCCTGTCCCACAGGTGCCTGATCCCTGTCTGGGAAGCCTGGCTGTTTCCCATTGGACTCTTAGGGACCCTGGGGAGGGATTGAGACCTTTCCCACACACACCGGGCGGTTCTTCCACCTGCCTCCCACCAACCACATCATGCTCTGCGCCAGCCTTTGGGGCCTCGTTGGTTTCAATGTCTAGAGCAGCTGTGACCCCTGGGGACTCTCTGTAAGTGTCGTACAAAGGAAGCGGAGGCTGCAGCAGGCGGGTGTCTCCTACTCGGGGGAGGTCTTAGATACTCATGGCATGGTGTCCTTTGCCATACGGAATCCCTAGCACTGTGCCTGCAGCATGTGATTTTGTCAGCAGAGGGCTCTCCTGGATAGCTTTGCATGGGAGCTGCTGTGGTCCACATCCAATACCCGGCAGCAGTGAGTGGCCTTCTGGGCCAACTGGTTGACCTCATTCCACTTCTAAAAAAAGAGGTGGGGTGAGCAATGGAGTCTTGCTTTGTCCCAGCCTATAAACCCAGCCCTCTGGCAGCTTAGCAGCAGGTTCCTGCCCATCTCCTTCAGCCAGCCTGTCCATGCTGACACCTCGCTGGGGTGCCACTCCCTCTGCGGGGTCTGAGAGGCTGACTGACGGTGCAGCTGTGCCTCTGTGGACGAGCTGTGCGCTCCCCAGGAGCCCCAGGCTGTTGGCAGGGTTGTAGACCACGGGCCGTGGGAGAACTCTGACTTTACTACCAGGATTGATGGAGAGGAGGAGGCCAAGGGTTAGATGGGGAGGGCTTAGGGTTCCTTGAGAGGCCAGCCTGGGTCTGGCCGGTGTTGAAAGGGACAGCCCCCAGGAATTTGTTTTTCTTAAAAATTTAAGTTTGAAGTCTTTTGATTTATCTCTATTTTTTAATTAGATTTGTTTATTAACCAGGAAATCTCAAAAAGTGCAATTCCAGTCATGGTCCCAGATATGTCCCCCAACTCCCCGCAGTGGGTGCTGAATGAGACATACTGTGCTGTGCACTGTGGAGGGTACAGAGATGCATCACAAGCAGCCCTGTCCAGCCCAGCTCACCAGGGGCAGTCCTGGTTAGGATTCACACACAACCGCAAGGAGGTGTTGGAGCATCAGAGGGGTCTTTGAGGTCCCCGTGGAAGGATCACTCAGGTCTCATGGAAGGAGCCTGCATTTGGACTGAGACTTGAAGGGGCAGCTTGGCTGTGTGGTGATGGAGAAGGGCTTCAGGAAGGGTTTGATGAAAGGGTTTGATGAAAGGGTATATATGCTGCAGATGGCTGTGTGTCATCACACACAGCAGAGGCCACCAGGTCCCTGAGTTGGTTTGTTTGCAGACAGTTGTGGCTGAGCATGGTTGGGGCCCCCAGCTGCCTTCTCATCTCTGTCCTCTGTCCCAGCATCTGCGTTTCCTGAGGACTTCTCCATCCTGACCACTGTGAAAGCCAAGAAAGGCAGCCAGGCCTTCCTGGTCTCCATCTACAATGAGCAGGGCATCCAGCAGGTTGGCCTGGAGATGGGCCGCTCTCCTGTCTTCCTCTATGAGGACCACACAGGGAAGCCTGGGCCTGAAGACTATCCCCTCTTCCGGGGCATCAACCTGTCAGATGGCAAGTAAGTGGCCACAGAGGGCAGTTCCCTTCTTTCCTGATAGGGGTAGGGGAAGCAGACTGACCACCCTGGCTAGATGGGGCCATGTGGCAGGATATGCAGTGGGATACCTTCATGTTGGGCACCAGTGCAGGACAGAGCGCTGGGCTTGGAGTGCCAGGGCCTAGGTTGTCATCTTAGTTTCTCCTCTAGGGCTTGGGGGAGTCCTTGCTCTTCCCTGGGCCCCCAAATCTCCTTGTAAAATACACTAAATGCACCAGATGCTGGCCCCAGTATGAGAGGGACATAGAAGACTTGTTCCAAAAGGATTTAACTGTGTCCTTCCCGGATGTTGACATACTCCATCCACGAGGTGATGGTTTAAGTCAAAGAAAAGGCAGGTCTTGTCAGCATTCTCTGTTGGGGGTTTGAGAGGTGCCTCTTGTGTGGCTAATGTGTCCGAGTCCATGTAACAGCCTTGGAGACCTTTGGGACATGGTCCCCGTGTTCTCCAGTAAGACTTTCGTGTAGTCATTGAATCCATCCCTGTTCATCAAAATGTGGTTCCTGCAATTGGTCACTGAGCTTCAGATGCTATGTATAAGACTGGGACTCCTGTGCTGAGGTCACACTGTGACTGCAGCCTCCACACTAGGCCAGTGAGCCCTGGAGTGTCCTGGGCCTGCTGAGTCCCCGAGCTCATTCTTTCCCTCGGGCATCCTGATGAACTCATGGACTTTGGGCAAATGTCCTCTTGCCTGACAGATAAGAATTCTGTGGTTCTGAGAAGCTGAGTGTGGCTCTCAGGATGTCATGTGGTGTTACTGGGATTTGCATCTAAAAATGTGATTCCGAGGCTTAGCCCTGCAAAGACCCCACTGTGACCATGAGGGACATGGCTTCTTTCTCAGGTCTTGGGGACTCTTCAGTGAAGCCCCTGGACTGCGATAAGAGACCTGCTTCCCTGCCTGACTGTGTTTCTTTGCAGGTGGCACAGAATCGCCCTTAGTATCCACAAGAAAAATGTCACACTGATCCTTGACTGTAAAAAGAAGACCACCAAGTTCCTGGACCGCAGTGACCACCCCATGATTGACGTCAATGGCATTATTGTGTTTGGCACTCGGATCCTGGATGAGGAAGTATTTGAGGTAAGCAGGAGGGTCAGGTGGTCCCCTGTGCCCACCTGGGGACACAAGCTGCCAGGTGGCTCCTCTCATAGAGCTGTCATGGCTGCCATGGGAGGCCTGTCTCCTTGCCTGGGAGCAGCTGACCTCTGACATGGACGTGGTTCCTGCTGGTCTGAGGCCTCTATTGCTATCCCAAGGGATGGTTGTGGCCTGCATGATGGAGAGGCCAGACCATGTGGGGACAGCAGTGACCACCTTTGTCCAAGGGGCCAGATACGTGTCTCCCAGGTACCAGCTTGGGATGGACATTGGTCTTTGGCAAGTTTGATCTGAGATTTTGGAAATAACCAAGGGCTATGCTGGGAAGTGGGCAGTGCCCTCTGGGTGGACTTGCATATAGCTGGGGCACTGAGTGGGAGTGTCAGGAAGGCACGTGCCAGCTTGGGGAGGGGACATTAACTCAGCAGTGTTCCAACTGGGTGTAGTGGAGCCTGCTGTCATGGGAAATGCCCAGAGATGGGGAGAAGGAGGCGGAGCAGAGTAGGCTCTGGGGCCCCTGTGACAGCGAGCTAATCCTTTCAGTTTGGGGTTCTGCATGGAGAGACGTTGGGAACTGTCCCACCACCAGGAAGCAGGTCAAGAGCTTACATAGGTGGTTAGTGGACCCAACCATGGAATCAGCTGGAGCCTCTGAAGGCTCAGGTGGCAGGGCCCCACCTACTATCCTAAGAGCGCATCAGGAACTGATGCCCCCTGTGGTTGGGTTGGGTGTCAGCCAAGACCCTGTGGCTGGACTCTTTTTTTTTTTTTTATGTTCTCTGGGCTTTGCAGATGGTTTGCTGTCACCAAGGGCTTAACAACTGCGGGTGTTTGAAAAGCATTGGCAAATGGCCTCTTTGGGTTGTCCTGACTCTTGGGCCTTCTCCTTCAGGACAGGATGGGATGGTGTGGTTTTCCTCCCCAAATTCCCAAGAACCAGCATGACCCTGACCCACTCACATACTTGACCATGTTTGGAGACCTGATCTGGATCTGGCCAGCTGTGTCTCACCAATGCTCGCCATGGTCTCATGCCTGAGGTGGGGTCTCCAGGGCTGTGTCAGCTTGGTAACTCGGGGCCTGTCAAGCTGGAGGCTATGGTGCCTGGATCCAAGGAGCATACAACAGACATGACATATGTTCCCCTTGTCCATGTTAACAGTTGTGGCGTCTGCCAATGAAGGAGGGCATGGCCTACAACTTTGAGCATGTGAGAATGAAATTCCCAAGTTTCATCCTTTTATGAAGCCATAATGGAACATGCAGCATCATTGTTAAAAAGAATTTCACTAGAAAGCTGGCCTCGGCACAGGCCCATCTGGGCTGGACTTGGCTTTATTGAGAGGGGCTGGGCTATTGGCTTTATTGAATGCTGGATCTGAGCCTTGGGCAAGTTGCTCAGATGGTTCTAAGCCTCAGCTTCCCCATCTGTAAAATGGAATCATAGCATGGCTGCTTCATAGAGCTGTGGCAACAGTCACACGCGGTCTCATGCAATAAACACCAGCAAACTGCCTTCCGTATAGTACACCCTTGCAAATGCTGGCTGCCGCTTATCCTGAGTGTTAACCCCATATCGAACCAGGTGGGGAGGTAGGACAGAGCCTGCTGGTCAGTGTGAACAACCACGGAGAGGCCAAGAGCACTGCCCCACAAGGGAAAGGGGTGGCCCACTGTGAGAAGGGCAGTGTTACAATTTTGTTTTAAAATGGCTCCAGAGGACATTTGAGGGCTTGGTCCCCCGCTGATGGCATCATCAAGAAGTGATTGAATTGTGAGGATGTTGACCATGTCAATGGATTAATACATTGATGAGTTCATAGCTAAATGGTCTTTGAGGGAGGTGAGTCCTAGGTGCAGGAAGTAGGTCACTGGAGGCCTATCTTTGAAAGGTATATCTTGTCCCTGGCCCCTTCAGTGCATGCTCTCTCTCTCTTTCTTATTCCTGGCTGCCACAATGAGCAGCTTTCTCTGCCATAAGCTCCTGCAGCCACGATGCTCTTCCTCACCTTAGGCCCATAGCAGTGGAGCCGGCTGACCACGGACTAAACTGAAGCCATGAGGCTCTGCTGAAATAAATCCTTCCTCCATTTGCGTCGTTCATCTGTGCAGATGGGACTGGTGTGTGGAGTTGGTCCACTGGCCTGCCCACTGTGGCTCAGGTTTCCAGCAACCTGTGACCTGGAGGATCTGCAGGGCAGGCTGGGATAGCATGTGGGTCCTGCTGGCAATGCCAAATTATGCAGGTGATGGAGGCATTGTCAGGGAGGGCTTCTGACCAGGCTCATCCCCAGATCTGGGATGAACTGCAGCATGGCCGGGTCGCCACACAGTGGTGGCTTCTGGCCGATTCCAGGTTGCTGGTGTTAAGAGCTGCCCCAGAAGTGGCACAGATTGGGTAGATAGAGTGCTAGTTTCACCTCTTGCCCGGGAGGAGGATCCTAGGCAAAGAAAACGACCTTGAGCTTTGGGGCTGTCCCATAGAGAATGTGAATGACAGCAAAGGCACGCAGAGAGCAGAGTGGGGGAGGGGAGCCTTAGGCCTGGCTCAGTCACCAGAGCCGAGCTGCTGTGGCTCCTGTTCACTCTCCCATTGACTGAAGCCCTGAATTGGGAGCATGAGGGCGTTCTGAGGCTGGCAGAGGCACTGGTGCTACAATGAACTTCCTATGCGGTAGCTTTTCAGGGCTGTTGTTTCTAGGGCCTTTTATGTGCTCACAGTGTGCCTTTTATTGCATAGATTCAGGGAAAACCCTTCTCTTGTCTTAAAAAAGAGGATCCTAAGACAAATACTATAGCTGAGAAGGAAAAGCTTTTTTCCCATAGTACATGGAGGTGAAGACACTATTGTTGTAAGGATGCCCTGGAGCTCAGCGGCCAGGTCTGGTTTTGAGTCCAGCCCACCATTTCTAGCTGTGAGATTTTGGCCAAGTTCTCTCATTCACTTGGACTCAGTTTCCCCAAATGCAAGATGGAAACTGTGCCTCTCCCATTTGTGTGTGTATGTGTGATATGCAGGAGTTAATTCATGGAAAATAGACACTATAGTGGCCCACAGCAAGCTTGCCATTACTGTTACCCACTTGTGTTGGTAAACAGTGAAAAGAACAAAGGCACCTTGAATCGAGGAGCCCGACTTTGCTTCTCATACGGAGAAGACACACGGAGCATGTCTCTCCCCACAGCTGACGACTGGCCCACTGTGGGTTGGAGAGCAGGTTGCAGATGTGTTCAGAGTTCCACATTTCTGGCAAGCCATTCTTTCCTGTCTTGAAATTTGATTTGAGCGAGAGTGGCTGCCAGGAATGAGAGAGTTTTGTTGACCGCAGGTTGTTAATGGCGTTAGGGTGGTGTTCTCCCAGCCCCAGGGTCTCCTGGCTGTTAGCTGTGCTCACGGTGGGAAATTGGACTTGACTGCCTTAATGAAGACCAGCAAGAGTAGCGATGGTGGAGCAGCCCACAGGGCCTTTTCTTCTTCTTCCTTAGCGGTGTAATGATAAAGATGGGGGAGCGGGCCTTGCAGCCTCAGCTTCCTTCAGTCTCCTTGCAGGTGCAACTGAATTTTCATTTCTTTTGAAGCAAAAGCAACTGGACTCTGCTTTCCAGAAGATTCCAATAATGGCCCTTCCCATTTTCCCATTTTAACGGCTTGGTTTCTCTAACAAGCCCTTAAGGAGGAGGGGCCAGCACTGTTGGAAGTTATTTCTCCAGTGGCCACATTCTTCACATGACCTCTGCTCATTAAAAGCCACTTTGTCCCACATCTCTCCAGCGCTCTGGGTGAGCAAGAGGGTCCCTGCATTTGCTGGAGGTCAGGTCACTGCTGGCACAGGCTTCCATACTCAGTGCCTGCTTACAGATGGGCCTTGCCAGATTCTGGAGGGCTTGTTAGCACCCCAGGGTTTTTCCAGGAACTGTGGCCCTTCAGAGGCCCCCGTTGTCCAGGGCGAAGCGCCCTGGAGGAGACTGCTGGGGACACAAACTCCTCGACTCCTAGGTGAATGCTTCATCTGCAGTGCAGAGCCATTTTCACTTGTGGCACCACACCTATGGCCTCCCTATGGCCTCCCTGGGACAGACACTGGGCAGTCCCTGGCTCTCTTGGGTCTGGCTGCTCTGCCTCCCAGCCTAGGTCTGAGTCTGTCTCTGACCTGACCATCCTGCTGTTCAGCGGAGGCTGGACACTCCAGTTCCTTGCAAGGTCATGCAGGGCAGAAGCGAAGGCACAGACTGAGCAGGTTTATGGGTCCCATGACCATGGCTTTCTTGTTTTGTCTTCCTAGCCAAAGACTTTGAGCCTGGTGTCAACATCTGTAAGTTGGGCCAACACTGTGGGGCTGTGGGATGGTGCTGTGGAGTCTACAAGAAATGCCAGAGTGAGGGCCACCGTGAACCACTCTGACCCTTGGTGGGTAGAGTTGGTGGCCATCCTGGAAGCCCCCTGGTCCGTTGTTACCTGCTTGTGACATCAGGAGCTGCATTAGTGTTAGTGACTGCTTTCTCTAAGGTGGCAAAGTCACAAACTGTCCTTATTCAGCTTTTCTGCACTCACTTTGTGATCTCTGGGGAGGACAGAGCCCTTAGCCTTTCCTCTGCCTCCCTCCAAGCCAAGAGACACACAGGACAAGGACTGACTGAAGGTCAAGCCAAGCTCCTGGGATGTCCTGGCCCATGTCCACACCTGCCATCTCTCAGGCCCCCTGTGAGGCATGTCCTGTCCCTCAGGCCCCCTCCTGAGCTTTGGGCTCGCCTAGGCCTAGCTGCCTCCTTGCTGACATGCCTGGCATGTTCCTGGGGGAAGTGTGCCGGGCAGCCACATGTCCTGTGTCCTGCCCCTGTGTCTGTGGGGCCCAGGATAGCGCCTCACCTGGAAGGGCAGGAGGTGCTGGCCGGTCTGAGATCTCATTGTGCAGGAGGTGAGGGTGGGGGTGCCTGGCCTCTTCAGGCAGGAAAACACCCCATTTCATCCAGGGCCTAGTCAG